TTCAGTGAAAAATAAGACAACTGTCAAATAAAAATAAAGAAAATAAGAACAAATAATCAGACTACAAGCAACAGCACAATTAAACATAGAAACTGAATAATATAGTAAAATGCATATAATCTTCATTGTATAAATTACATAATGATTCAATATTATTGAAGTTATAAAAGCTATTCAGTCAAGAGCAGTGAGTGATTTCCTTGTATTTTGTTGTCTGATTAATATTAAAAATACAGACAAGAAAAAGGCTGTGGTCACTTTAAGACAATTCACAGATCCAGCACATTGAGACACAATACACCTGCGTTGTCTTTCCCAACTGTTTATGTTCACTTAAGGGGTTAGTTCACTCACCCTCAAGCCATCCTAGGAGTGTATGACTTTATTATGATGGATGGATGGACTTTTTTGAGCTTCAAAATTTCATCTCCCTTTCACTGCCATTATAAAGCTTGGAAGAGCCAGGGTAAATTTTATTATAACTCCGATTGTGTTCGTCTGAAAGAAGAAAGTCATATACACCTAGGATGTCTTGAGGGTGAGTAAATCATGGGGTAATTTTCATTTTTAGGTGAACTATCCAACTGGCATAACCGACTGTGTTTGCTAGGGTACTCGTCAAGTCTGACATGTTGACATACTTTTTGTGTAAATGTGTCTGTTCAAAGGCAAGACTTGAAAGAATTTGTGGGAGAGTATTTGCGTGCTGTGACACAGCTCTTGTTGTGGATTTTTCTTGGGTGCGGCCAATGAAGTGGAGGAGCAGAGTTCCAGATGTCAAAATAAGACTTTATTTAACAAAGAAACAAAGCCGGGAAGACAGTCACAGCATTCCAAATCATTCCAAAGTCTTTGTTTGTCAGCTCATGTTATTATACCCCTTGTTCTCTCCAAATTTGGTCATTTTCAGTTTTTTCTTTGTTCCGGTTACTTTTTATTGGTTATAGATACCTGATTTGCTACAATTGTTTCAAACTCTTTTGGCCTTGTTTTCTAATTGGTTGGTAGTGTGGTCATACGAGATGTGTGTCAAATTTATCTACTTGCTTTTGTTTTGCCACCTTCCATTGGTCGGTAATGTGGTCATACGAGATGTGTGCGTCACATCCATCCACCTGTTCCTGATAATATTAGATTATTTCATGTTTACGTCTGCTGTCTACAGAAAGGTCCATTGTCTAATGAAAGGACCATTATACGTGTTGTTACATTATTTCAAGCTCACTGGTGTACTGTCTAATGAAAGATTCACTGTCTAATGAAAAGACTATTATTCGTTCTATGACATCCAGAGTTAACATAATTCAGCATATTAATATATATATTGATTACTTTCATTTTCACATAACGTTCAACAAAATTACACAATATATTCCCCCCTCTGAGGTTTCACCAAGCCTCACCGCTAAACCCTTTGCCTAGAGTGCAACACCACAAATCCACCCATCCTTCTATCCTTGCCCTCCAGCGCTATCTGGTGTTGGAGTAGATGGTGGGTTTTTAAACCTCCAGTTGAATCTACTCGTGTTGCTAAGCACTGAGGTGCTCGTCGATCCTTTCTTCTTTTCATACTTTGATAACTTTTCCAGTGTTTAAGAACAAACAAATGATATACTGACAGTGAATTTAAAAGATGAAAATAAGTAATCTTTCTTTATCATCCCCTTTGTCTGGTTGCATTGCCTCGTAACACGGACAATGACCTGCTTAAAACCTTTAACATTCCCAAAAATAATCACTTACTTTCATTTTCACATAATACTTCAATAAAATTACACAACACTCTCCATGCACAGAATCAGATGAGTGCACTTCACACACAAATCTTCTTACAGCACACCCTAGTTGTCTTTCTCCTCTGGTGGTTGAATGTTTAAATGAGTTTAGTTACTGTACACAAATAGCAACATGTGCTGTTCAGGTCTCACCTGTGCTTGCGCACTACGAATACATGGGTGACAACGGCGTGAATGACTGGTCATACTAGAGCATATGGCTATCTATAGTGTTTTTAATGTTTATATGTTTGTCAGTGCATGGGACACTAAATATAATTTTAGCTTTAATCATTTTCCCAATAAATATGCAGGAATAAACCTGGTGTCCTCCATATGATTCCTGTTCATTCTGACAACAAAGCACTTGAAAACAACAAGCCTTTAATTACGACTTCTAAAGTGGAAATTAGGAAATTTCTGATAGCACATGAAGGCAGCATTACTGTTGTGTTTGTGCAATTGGATGGGTAAAATTTAGAACACATTGTTTTAATCGTTATTTAAAAAATATATAGATGCGTCGTCAGATTCGAGATGAACCGTGGGTGCAGAATGGTATGGTTCGATTTTTTTTTTGCTTTTTGCTTTTTTTATTGAGATCCATTACACTCCTACTATACACAGAGTATGTGTGATCGTGAATACAAAAGCGAAAGTGAAAAGCAAGCACACATTCAAAAGCAATTATTCAAAAATAATATACAATATAATTACCCAAATGCATAATTGCAAGATCTAAATCTTATTATTTGTTGAGCACAATCAACTGTCAAGTCACCTTTTTTTATATAGCATTTTTTACAATACATATGGTTTCAAAGCAGCAACGGTGATGTCATCGTCCAGCTCTGTTGAGTTCTTATATAATAGTGTCAATGCAGTCAGATCGACAATACTGTTGAATATTGAGTGTCCCCAACTAAGCAAGCCAAATGCAACAGTGGCAAGAACCCAAAGTCCACCAGGTGACAAAATAGAGAAGAGAAACCAGGCTCGATTCCCCACTGTCCAACAAATGAACACTGTATGATTATGATTTAGGCTGCATCAGAAGTCAGATAGGAATCGTATCGAAACATTCCAAATATAAAACGAATTGAAACATTCAATATATACATATATACACACATGTGTGTATACAGGGCTGGAAATGGGGGGGGCCTTTAACTTCCAACTGGTTAGGTTCTATTGGAAATTAAAGTGATTTCTAGATTTTATCAATTTAAAAGTTTACAAAAGCGATTCCAGTTCTGTAAATAAAACGTAGCGTAATGTAGACTAAAAACGTAGCCGGATATGGTTATAATACCTGCAGACTGCTTTTCTATCGGTGCGTGTCCTGCTCCTCACAGCATAGATCGTGAAAGTAGACTGCAGTTTGTCATCTTTTATTATAACGAAGTGTAGAGACAATGTAAATAATACATTCAGTGTGCAGTGTAGAGAGCTTCATTAATTAAAATGCAAGTTTGTGAGATCGCGATGAATTAAAACAGGTGACAGATTTTAAATTATTATAAAACGGCAAATGTGATATTGATTTTATACAAGTTTCATCCATTTTTTATTTTATGCAAAAATTAAAATTAATGTGACTTACATTTTAGGAACACTGTTTGGAACCATTTTTGTTGACAAAAGAGAGCAAAATTAGACAACAAAGTCACAGCTGAGCTGCTGTGCATCTCCATTCAAACACAGTGGTGTTTCGTTTATGAATGAATCTGCATTTGTTTAACAAATCTAGTGAGTCAATGATTCAATGACCCATTCATGAAGAGAGTCACTTGCTTCGTTCCTAAATGAATCAGCCGTTTGAACAAATCGATTGAATAAATGATTCAGTAACCAAGACTTTGACTTGCTGCCACCTAATGGCGGTTTCAGTTTCATTTTTAAAGTATAAATTGAGTCGTTTAAATGTTCAACGTTTCTATATTGAAAACGTTTATATTTAAAACAATCTCATAACATTGACATTATGACATGCATTAATGTCACCCCTGAGGCCTTGTTTACACTAGAGCGTTGTCATTTTAAAACCGCGTCACGGCGTACATGTTTAGAGCAGTCGAATGGGGAATCTACCCATACATATCTATGAGTACAACAATGAGAATGATGTTATTGTTTACACAGTCATCAAGGATACGCAGAGCGAATGTGGGCAGCCACGCCATCATTTTCAAAATTCTCCGTTTTGCTCCGTTTACACTGAAATGCAACCCCAGATTTTTCAAACTAAAACAGGGTCTGCAGCGTTTTCAAAAGTCTCCGTTTTCGAGGCTGGAATACACCAGAGTAGTGTAAACGATGGGCGTAACCGTAGCAAAAGTTATGCGTTTTAAAACGAAAACGGGGCCTAATTCTTGTCAAAAAGTCTGTAAATATTCCACATTTGTGCTCTTCTGTGCCGTGCAAAGATGAATTGTTGATGTTTAAGTTGACTGGTAACTTATTCTTCGTGATTGAATCTTATCATTTTAATTGAATTTGTTTAATTAACATTTTTGATAAACATTTATAAATCAATTTTTTTGGAGATGACAGATGACATACATTAATAAAGATGACATACATTAATAAAGTTAGAAAAAACAGCATTACAAAGATTAAAAAATAATGAGTCAAATATCACCTTATAATGGGAAGATTAATTTCTGTCATTGATCAGAAGGTGTTCCTATTTATTTTATTTAAAATAGGAGCACAAGTGTTCCTTTTTAGATTTAAAGAAATTTAAGCGTAAACAAGTCCTTAAGAATGTCATGTTACCTTTTAAAAACTAGTTGTAAACATTTTTGCAACGTGTAAACTATTAAATATAATTTACAAATCATGCAATACTGTACCACTAAATAAGAAATGCTTTGAGGGCTTTGCTAAACAGGCTAATTAGAATCATTGTCTCTTTTTTTTTTTTTTTTTTTTTTTTTAATTTTTTTTTTTTTTTTTTTTTTTTTTTTTTTTTAAATCATTCTATCATTTCACTAATCAATAATTTTTTTTTTTTAAATAAAAACGGGGTCATTAATGATGCTTACATTTAAACGTGCAAATTCACACACAACGTATCTTTAATTTGGCCAGAATTGCAAGTGCAGAATTGCAGTATGAAATCTATGAAATCATCTAAAATTACCATTATCATATACTGTATATATATGTGTATATATACATATACATGTTTGTTTTTTTTAAGTGTGAATCTTTTTCTTTCAGATGGATCACCATCGCTGTGACTCTGACTGCAGTGATGATCGTCCTCCTGCTTTTAACCGTAAGTTTAAAAATTACATTATGAAGTTTTCAAGCCACTTTATTTTTGTATTCACAGAAAGCAGTATCTGTATATCACAATATAGCAATAAATCACAAGTTATTTATATTGTCATCTTTGAAACTGTTTACTGTTAAAAACAGGTGACGAGAATCAATCAGATGAGATGCGGTAAGCTTTTCTTCTTTAATTTGCGTTAGCAAGCTACATAATATTATCTTGACAAATCTGCATAAGTTGCAACCTCATACAAAATAAATTAATGTAAAATGCTGAGCACCCCCCCACACTTCCCCACCCCCAAAACAATCTTCTCTTTTGCAGATCACGTTATGATGCCACTCTAATGAAACAAGGTCCTCCAGCGCTTTACCGACTGAACACAAAAAGAAATCAGATTGATGGAAATGAGACAAAGGTCAAACAGTGGACATATGGACAAAAGAACAGAAACAAGCAGAACAAAGTCATACTGATGGTGGGAGAAACCGGCGCTGGGAAAACAACCATGATCAATACTATGATCAACTACTTTCTGGGAGTGAAGTTTGATGATCAAGAGTTTTATCAAATCACAGAAGAAACGGATGATGCAGCTCAATCACAATCCCAGACACATCAGATGACTGTTTATGAAGTGTTTGTTGAAGAAAACCCAACATCTCTGACCATCATTGACACTCCAGGATACGGAAACACTGAAGGATACGAGAAAGACCGAGAGATATCGGAGTATCTGATGAGATTATTTTCAGATGAGGATGGTATTCATTATATTGATGCCGTGTGTTTTGTGATGAAGGCGTCTCAGAATCGACTCTCTGAAAAAGAGTTTTACATCTTTCACTCAGTTCTGTCTATACTTGGTAAAGATATAGAGAACAGCATAATGTTTCTCATGTCACAGTCAGATGGATTACCTCCAACAGATGCTCTTAATGCCATTAAAACAGCAGAAATACCCTGCAGAAAGAATATGAAAGAACCCGTTCACTTATTGTTCAACAACCGACAGAAAGACAAAAGAGATGAAGAGTATGAGTTAAAGTACAGGTCAACCTGGGAAATGGGCGAGAGAAGCATGAATCGGTTGTTCACACTTCTGGAGGAAAACAACAGAAAAAGTGTTCAGATGACATTAGATGTTCTGAAAGAGAGAAGACAACTTGAGGCCTGTGTCAACAGTCTGGTGGAACGAATCTCTGATAAAGAGTCAAAAACTGAAGAACTGAATCAGATTCAAGAAGCCCTCAGACAGAACAGAGACAAGATTACGAGATGTGAAAACTTTCAGTTTACAGTAACAAAAACAGTCAAAGAAAAAGTCCTCATTGAGAATAAATCATGGAGGAACAGAAACGCAACCTGCTGCTCTGTCTGTCAGGAGAACTGTCATGTGAAGGGCTGCTGGTGGGTGAATGATCTCTCGTGGTGTTCAGTCATGGAAAACAACTACTGCACTGTGTGTACAAGGAAGTGTCATTACAGCACACATGTCCAAGAGAACAAAATATATGAGATGAGAAAAAAACCAGTCTATATGACATTTGATGAGCTCAAACAGGAGTATGAACGCACTGGTGACCATCCTGAAACCAGCTTTGACAAAAAAGTATATGAAAATACTAAAAAAGAACTTGAAAGTATCATGAAAGAGTCTGAGATGAAAACGAAAACAGAAGAAAAACTAAAGAGGGATCTGGAGAAGATTCAAAAGGAAAAGTCCAACCTGCTGCATGAAGCTTATATGAGCATCCTGATTCTGTCTAAGATCGCATTAAAATCAGACACCACTTTCACTCTTCAACATCTGGATTTCTTGATTCCCAGACTGAAGGAGGAGGGGAAAGATGAATGGATGAAGAAGCTGGAGGATATGAGGAAAGCTGGAGAAGAACAGAGAAACAAGGTGGATTCAAATTGTGTGCGCTAGAAAATCCCTCTAAAAAGCAAATTAATAAATATAACAAATCTGACCATACAAGATGAAAATAATAATAATAAAAATGATAATAAATGTAATAGAATAGAATAAAAAATAAAGTAGATTGCAACAGGGAAAATAGTTAACTCAAATACATATTACTTTTAACCAAATTGTGTGGAAAAAGACCTTGTGTAGGCAGAAATCTTTCATCAACAATTAAATATAATAAATTGTTTGAATTTACTTTTCTAGCTCAAAATGATTTGAACTGAATTTGTAGAACAAAGTTACATGTACATAGAACTGATTAAAAAAGAAAAACCTTCTTTCTCACCTTCTTATGAATGTAGTACACAGATTAAACCTGTAGATTGATTTCTCTGAATTATTATGATAAACTAACATGTATTGTAGAGGTTTATGTTTCTAGCACAAGTGTCCATAACTCAAATGTAATATTAGTCGGTCTGAATTAACATAGACAATTTAGACTTGTACAGAAAATGATAGAAACTCCGATAACTTTTGCTTGCTTTCCCTCATTGTTCCTTTCCCCACATTTCCTTCCTTTCAGTTCAGTTCAAACCAGTTCAATGCAAACTCCACCCACAGCCTATTACATTGATCAACTCAACCACACATTGACTTCTCAAGAAAACTCCGTGGATACAGTTACAATCATACAAGGAAAGTTTGTAAAAGGCCTATTGTGATTCTGTAGCCACATATGCCCACAGTGTGATTGTTTTTCATTAAGTCTGCAGTATTTGTCTTAATGTCATCAGATACTAAATATACATCTTTAACTACTATATCTTTGCATGAAATACAGGCCCCGATGGGCTAATTGGGAGCACCGGGAGAATTCCCGGTGGGCTGGGCTGTTTTTTTGGCTGCGAGGACCAGTGTTGTCATGCCACTGGGTTTGAAATATGGACGCTGTCCCTAGACTGACTGCACTCACAGCAGCCCCACTTTTTTTATTTATTAGTTTCTCACAGCCCCACACGCAGAGTGCACTGACTGAATGATATCTGTATGGCCAAAAATGGAGTAAAATGTTTCCGCTGAATATCATTAAACACTATAAACATAGCTATTGCAGTTCCCCTCACTCCACAACAAATTCTTTAAATTTAATGTTAACATTCCGCTTTATTTGCCGCTATTATTTCTGAAAGTAATAATACGACTTATACGTGACTTATCTGTGGTGTTTTTTTCTTTTTCTCAAACACTTTCCAAAACATCCGCTTTTCAAGATGCACGTGTTTATTTGTCTGATCCTTGATGCGATCGCGCGTAGCAGTGCAAAGTTGATTCTGTGCTTACTTGATCTAATATTGTATGTTTTTTTAAATGTTGTAGAATTGAAGCAAATGAGAATCGCTAAAATTAATGCATATATATTGAGACAAAGGTCTTAACAATTTTCAGTTTTGTTTAAGATAATTAAAGCAACAGTTTTTAAATAAACGAAAGAATATGTAAAAGTATGGTATTTGGGGTCAAAAGCGCACCTGCTGTTGGGGCTAAAGGCGCACAGTAATTAACATGATAATTAATAGATGGATGACTTTTCCATTTGTTGACATGACATGGTTAAATTCAGATGGTAATATCATATATTATGTTGGGTGTCCACCTTAGAGATAATCACCATGTTTAGAATGAAACCATCATATTTAAAAACATGATATTAATCATATCATAATAAAATATCATTTGTCGTTACTACTGTAAATATATATTCAATTATTATTGGATCTCCTTCAGTACTTTCAGAATCTTTACTTATAAAAAATGTATTTTAAAACACAAAAAATAATTTTAATATTAACATTTTAATGACAGTTTATTTATTGAACAAAAATTTATTCTTTTATTTTTCTAAATAAGCAGAACATAGTACAAACTTTGCTAAAGTGATTGTTTTGAACAAGTATTAACTTAGACATTATAAAAAAAAAAAAAAAAACATTATTTTAGCTGAAGTATTTGTATCAATACCATGTGTAGTGTAAAAGGCCCCCCCTTGCCACCTCATACATTTATAAGATTTTTAAACAAAATAAACAACTTGAATGATTTATTTTCACACTAAATCTGTTGCTCCATTAATGTTCAATACAAACATATACAATGTGCAAATGTATATGCAATTATACATTTTATGCACAATAAAAAAGAATTTTTCTTCTTAAGGGGTGCCTTTAACCCCATTGTACCCTATATATGTGTGTGTTTGTGTGTGTGTGTATATATATATATATATATATATATATTCAGGGTTTGAAATTAAAACCTGCCAAATGCGGGTAAAAATCAGCTGTGGCGGGTTACGCTGTAGCCAAATTTAGCGCAAATACTGAACTCGTGAGACATCATGAAATTGAGTATACTGTAAAAACCAAACAAAACACACCTACAGAGTGCACGCATAAGCGACTACACTAACTTAGTGCGCATGCGCATTTACAGTGCCTTCTTTCACTGCATGATTCAGTCTATTAATATGCATTAAGAATGATCACATAATTCAAGATAAGGGGGCAGAAAATTTATATAATTATATAATTTCATATAGTTAATCAATATCACACGAAGAGTGCCGTTTAAAAAAAAAAAAAAAGCATGGTTACAAATGTGATATTGATTTTATACAAGAGACTTTTCTCTTTTTTTTTTTGCTCTATTTCGCCAACAAAAATCATTCCAAACACAGCCACAGCACTGTTTTGCATCTCTGAGCAACATGATGGTGTTTCGTTCCTGATTGAATCAACCGTTTAAATGATTCGGTTCAATCGCAATGACTCACTTATTAACAGTGATTTGCTGCCACCTACTGGTGGTTTTGTTTTAATTTTACATTTAATGTATATTTTCATTTTTTTTATAATTTCAAATATCAGTATTCAATGTTTTATGTTTAAAATATCAAAACATTATTTATGCATTTGTAACTGCAGGTTAAAGTATTCCATGTCCCTCTAAGCTGCATTAAACAGTGTGTAAATACTGATATTAGTAAATACTAATAAATCTAAATGTCACTTCATATGCAACTTCTGCAAAGATTAATTTTGTTGATACTGATTTAATTTGTGTAGTAACAGTCAATTATGATAACAATACATTTAGGCTGATTAAATGTAAGAATTTGACTCAAAAGATGATGCACACTTTTAGAAAAAAATGGTTTTATAAAAAGTAAAAATCAATTTAAACTTATGGGAAAAGATTAATTTCTATCACTGCTGTGAACTGACCACAGAGAATATTAAGAATATCAAAAACTTAAGGAGTCAGCTGTCCACGGTAGTCCTTAAGATATCAGCAAAATATTGTCTAATTATCTTTAGAAAATATTGAGATGTTATTTATTGTCAATATCGCACACCCCTAGTTCTGACACAAAATGATTTGCAACGGTCACTTTGTCACGGTCAGTGTAGACAGCCTCAAGCTGTTGGTTTATGTTTTTTTTTGGCTAGTAGAAGTTATGAATGGCCGGTAACTTAAAAATTTAGTAGCCAAATTGGCTGATGAGTGAAAAAGGTAATTT